GAAGAAGTTTGACACATTTAATGGCAAAGGAAAGTTGCATTGGAGCCATGTACAAGGACAAGTACACACACAGATGCTGCCAATAACCTTGAATATTGTGCATTTATTGACTGAGTGTGAGGGCTGGACAGGAAAAAAAATTTGGCTTAAGGTCACCCAGCCCAGCAAGGTCTAAGCATCATAACCACATACCAGGTGAAGAAAAATTTAAAATAAAAACCATAGATTTAAGGGACTTAAGCTTTAACCAGCCCTGCTCATGCTATAATGCACAACTCTCATAGAGGTATTTTTCTCTACGATGTTTATCAATGAAAGCAGGTGCAGTGCCCTCTGTGTTATAATATGACTACAATTGCGTGATATAACGTTCATTAGCATCACCTGGTCTGATTCAGACATCTTAGTAGTAAGTTGAAACATGGTATCTCCAACTGACTTCACAAATCGTTTCAGACCACCTCCACTGAGTGCTGCAGTGTCTTTAGCTCTGGGCAACTTTGTAGAAAGAGAAACAATTTTCATCAGTGCCACTCAACAAAAGTTTAGTTGAGGTGAAGTCATTAACACAAAAAAAACTCAAGGAGCATACACAGTACATCCACAAAGCACTTAAAAGAATTGCCAGGCTTAAAGAACTATTCAAGAATAGGACATTATACATACCACATCAGCTTCCAAAAATTGTCGGAAATCTGGATCTTCACGTAAGGTTGGATGTCGAGCAACTCTGTTAAGATACCTGGAGAGGAAACATCAATGGATAGTAAAATTAAGTGAAAGATAGAGTGCAAATTATTTTAGTCACAAAAGCTTAAAGCAAAGAATTGCTTCCACATTAACCCTTAGAACCCTAAAAGTTGTTAGCCTCTATCTTCTCCTTACAATATCACCCCTGAATCACATATTAAGACCAAGAGAAATGGAAAAGCTCATCAACTTAAGAGGCTCTTGATTTTTAGACAAAGTATCTTTATCAGCACCTTAGGAAATGTACAGAGAACAGTATAGAGAATCTGCATACTGATGTTAGGGTCTACAAGATAAATTCAAAGTAGTCATAGCTGGATAGAATACAACAGTTGATACAAGTAGTTTGAAGAATGAATACCACAACTGAAAAAGGAAAATTAACACTAAAATAGAAAGAAAATAAAAGAAAAGTATATAAATGGGTAAATGAGACATGCAGCTCATGCGTTTTAGATCTGTATCACAGGCAATTTTCACAAGCAATTTACCTCTCTAAGGCAGCTCTCCTCTTGGAAATAAAGTCAACTGGGGTGCTTTCCTCTCCTTTTCCAAGCTTGACCCTGGTCATGCCTGAAAATAAAATAAATAAATACATCTTAAACTTGTACTTAATCTATAACATAAGACTATTTTCTCTTGAGCATTGATAAACCATGAAGTTTGTGTAGAAATTAATGGCAACGGGCAATTTTTTCACAAAGTTTCAGTGATTACTCACCAACAACAGACTTCTCAGGAGCTGGGGGCACAATCTTTCCAAGGTGAAGAAATTTGCTATTTAATCGATCATGGAGTCCTAGAAAATCACTAAATCGACGCTTCACAGATGTCTCTGAATTCTTGAATGTCGGCATACTTGTCTATGGTAAAGTAAGGTCATAAGTTTAAATTTCAAATTTGCATTCATCAAAAATCAAAGCTGCCGTTGGATTTTTTCTATAGCTGTTATCTACCTTGAAATGGTCTCTTTCTAAAGGCAGTAAAATAAGTGTGACAAGAGTGATAAACACATTCATGTACAATATCTTAAGAAAATAGGCAAGTGTCAAGATTTTCTTTAAATCAGCTACAGTCAGTTACTTTTAAAAAGAAGACTAGGGTTGTTGTTAAGTGCAGGCTGCTGGCAAAATTTGTAGGATGAAAAATCTGGCAGGATTTTTGCCCAGTCCAGCCATCACTTACTAATGCACAATGGCATTCTGAGGTTACACACTTATAATTGTTCAATGTCTAACACAAAATTTAAGCCTGCTCCCTAATTTCTAACCTACAACCCTGCAACAAGGTAAAGAATCTCTGATCAGACCTTTGGAAGTAATGAGTGAACAGATCTATATAAATGAAAAAACACAACAGTGCAAGTCAAGCAGCAAAAAGGTCATATTTTAACTTACCATTGTTGTGACCTTGAAAACCATATAAGAACCCATGCCATCACCTGCAAAAGTAACATTAAATAGAGGTGTGATATGCTTGCCCCTTTACCTCCCATGAGTTACCAGTCCAGTTATGAGGATATATAAATATAGAAATTAAGGGATTATTAGTTGATAAAAATGGTTTGGTAGCCAGTAAGGAGAATTACTAATGAGATGTTGCAAGTTAAAAGGTTAAATTGATGAAAAAAAACTTTTAGAAATATCAACCTGTAGATCTTCAATGGCAGACCTCATTATCACAAGAGGAGTTCTTACAAAAAGTTAAGGATAATAGTGTACAAACAGGTAGCTCCTCTTGAAATAAGTCCTTTTCTTTCATATGCCTCTCCTCAAAAGTGGCCATTGAAATAAAGCCTGCTGACTCTAGTTTACTTCTCAGCACATTGTACTGTGGTTTTTCAAACTTTTTTTAACAGGAAGTAAAAAGAATTTAGGGTCACATTTACATGGGATTTGCACTTAATGTACTCAATAACGACTGAATTGCTGCAGTTCAAAATTCTTGGGTAAAAAGTGAAGAACATATTTAACAAACCAGAGCTGCTGATAGTGCTGACTAAAAAACTCCAAACAAAAGAAATGTTGAGAAAACACACCGATCTTTTCAGGATCTGTCACTTTAATATTCATGTCAAAGGTGTCATCCTCCTCGTCTTCTTCAACTTCCTTTTCCTGCAAGGAAAATCAGCATCTCTTGAAGGAAAAATCGTAAATGTTTTCCACTTAAGGTAGAATAAACATCTAATTATTATAGGGTAAACCAGCAACAACTCATTAACAACTTATCCATAAATATTTACGGATTTATAATAAAATAATACAAAGATACACTTTTGTTTTAAATTCAGTCCTAGACTTTGAGATGATATAATGCGTGAATCGATCAATTAACCGAAAGTAAACTGAGTTGGGTCTGGCTGATCTGCCAATTAGACAATTAAAAATGGGAGGGATTGAGAGCAATCATTCTGAAAATAGATTCAGATAGAGCCCAATAATATAAGATCTTCGGTATCTACAACCTCAGGTTTTTCTGTCGGAGCTGGTTCGCTGTCATCCTCGCTCGGTTTCGAGAGGTTGGTGACATCCACGGAAGCCGCCGCAGAAGTTTCGGACTTTTCTTCGCTCCCGCCTGCAGCAAGATCGGACGAACCCTTGTCACTCTCCTCAGGAACAGTGTCTGCCTTGGCTTCCTCGTCATCTAGAGTAATTTCCGTGGTCTCTCCAATAAAGGGATTACCGTTAACTTGCTCGTCCGGGTTGGTCTCTGGCGTCTCAGCTTCATCTTCGAAAAGGGCAGGAGGTTCACGATCATCCGCCATTTTAATTTTCTAGGCAGTCACGTGGGGATTGCCTCGACTTAGGGGAGAGGTGTGTCTAAGGTTGTTCAAGGTGTGCTTTGTAATTTCACTTTTTTCTTTTTTCTCTCGTTTTTTTTCCCCTTCATTTGCCTCCCCTCTTCCATTCTGTCCATTGTATTCTGTTTAACTGAATTCATTCCTCTTATCTGATGCATTCACTATCGATATTTATTTGCCAGTTTGGATAGAATGTTTAAAACAGAATTGACAGCTTCTCTGTTGGTCGCGCATCGCCTTTCACCTTCAGTGGCTCGCTCGACATTTAAAATTTACAGAGGAACTGGTCTTTCATCTTACCCGTCAATATGTCAAGGTTTTTTTAATCAAGATTTCAATTTAAAAAAAAAAATTTCGTCGACAATGATCTACATGTCCTAAAATGACATAACCGTTATGTGAAATCCGACGACTGATTCAAACTACAGGAACTTGAACTTTTCTGATCAAACAATCGCGTAGATGAATGGAGAACTTTCAAGCTTACCTTCCAGCCTGTGTTTGTTATTTCATTTCCAAATCTACCCTCTCCCAGAAAGTGAAATTATCTCACACAGTCATGTACGATCACTATTCATTTATAAACGGACTGATTAAAAACATCAGTAACTACTTAACACCAATTAAAATACTGTTCGATAATAACGTATTTTTCAAGATCAAATATATTGAAAGCGAGCATTTACCGACAAGGTGAATAATTCGTTTAACAATAACATAGAGGGTGAAACATGTTTCTCTTATTTCATTTTTTTGAATTTCGAAGTTAATTGCAGTTACTTCATATTCGTTTATTCGGTTAGGCTAAACCTTAGAATTCTTCTAAAATATCTGGTTTCCTCGGGTCAGTCAGCCAGGTGTTCTCTACCAGATAATTTTTTTACGAACCCAAACCTTTCGGATGTGATATACCCCATAATCAAGAGAAAGGTAATATTCTAAAATACCAGGACAGAGAATCCATCCCATAATTTCCTTTGCTGTAATATATGGGCAAAAACGATTTCTCGTCAAAATAAAGTCCATATTATCTGTAATCTTGTTTATCACACCGTGCCAGCAGCTTCATTTTTGTTTCTTTGTTTGTTTCTTTCCAAAAACACTTTGGGTAGTTTAGTAAAAACTACATTTTAGGGGCAGGGGGACCACATCAATTTATTTTCTCGAACTTCGGCCGTAAAAACTCTGGGGTATTCCTCAGAACTGTTGAAACCTTCTACATGGATACGATCTGCAATGGTATCTTGATATAAGCAAAGGCTGTAGTCACTCAGGTGGTAAACAACATCTCCAGACTGACAATTTAAGAACATTTTAATCTGATGGGGAGGGAGTGTTGACTCAGCAGACCACGGGTATTTATTGCGGTCAGAAGCATTATAATGAATTATACACGGTTTACATAAAATAATAAATATATTTTTATTTTCAAAAATCATGATACCTTTAATATATGCTTTGTATAAATTTGAAAGATAATATAAATGGTCCATATCGAATTTCTATATACATCATTTATACTCTAACTTGCTTTCCACCTAGAACTCGTCTATGAATAGCATCGAATATCTTCAATAAATCAGAGTAAGTCAAAACAATTATTTCAGTCGACAGGTGCAACACATAAACTCTTTTATATTTGCGGAAAGTCAGTGGAAGTAAAAACTAAAAGATCTATTCTTTGGTCATTAAAAAAAATTGTGGATGAATATTAAGGACAATTGAAGAGACCTTATTGATACCCCATGGTAATCAAAATAACGAGTCGGAAAGGTTATCATAATCGACAGAGCTTTCCAATTCGCTCTGGTTTGAGTCCTCAAAACGAGACCGCAGTCTAATGGTCGCATTGTTTATTACGTCTTGTCGAATTTTCCAATACGGTGGACACGAGCTGCCGTAGATTTCCACTTGAGTATGTCCTTCGGGAATAACAAGACCCAAAGCGAAGTATTCATCCAGAAAGCTTGCATGCTCGAGATAATAGCGAAATAGCACTTGCGCCGTTTCCGCGTGCGAAATGACAAAGAAAAAAAGCTTAACAATTGTGTCATCGTCTTCATTTACCATTACCGGCTTAAAATATTGCCCTCCTGTCAGAAGGAAAGGTCCCATTTGAGTGATCTCTCTTCCAAATGCGTTTATTCTTGCAGCTTCGAAGAATTTGTCTCCAAGAACATTTCTCAGTCGCATAATTTCCTTGACAACTCTTTCCGCGTCGTGTTGTTTAGGATCTATTGTCATACGACTCATTTCAATTGTAGCTGCATCTAAAACGCTGATGACTTTTAATCGGTAGTTTTCAAGTTCTGTTCTGGATGTACATCGGCGAATTTTCTGTCTCAAACCTTGAGCATGCTCAAGTTTTAGTAAAAGGGTCTCCAGTTTCGGATCGGTGTCGACGTCAATTTCCCGGCCACGATCTGTTGACGTGGCATGATCATCCTGTATATAGCCTTTTGGTCTCGAACTTTCGTTCAGTAATGGAGTGATATCGAGATCTAGATCTTCATCTGCGGACCACTGGTGGCATTCTTTGGTAGGAAAGCAACCCATCTCTTCATTTGTAGACCTGTGATTTTCAGTTTTCAGAAGTAGAAAGCACCTTATCAAAACTCATTCGCCAATCCCAGTGTCACGTTTGGTTCTATGACGTTGTAACAAACACAAGGAAGCTTGATGTGACCTGATGCGTAAAATTAATGTGGGAAAGAAAATGCAAATATGCGCCTGAACAACTGAAACGAAAATACAATAGCGCAAAATCCCAAGAGCTTTCATTTCCTATTGAAACAGTTTAATCGTTGATGTAAATAAACAGCAAAAGAGTAACTGCATATCACCCGTGCGTAAGAGCTAGATCAGTAATGATGTGTTAAAAAGTCAAAACCTTTGCAAATGCAATATACTATAAGTATTTACTCAATAGAACTCACGGTAAAGCTTTAAGAACTTTATCTACGAGTTATGAAAACCTTTATTTACAAAGTGGAGCACAGGAACAATGTGAAAGAGTCTAGACGCTGCATACATAACAATCCTTAATATTACGTGGGAAAAGTGACGTTTCAAATCATTTGGGCAACAAACGCGGTTCTTCCACACCAAAGCAACTTTGACGTCAACTGATGTGAATAACGCGAACGTTTGTCTTTTAAAAATGTCTTGCTTTTCAGGCTATATCGGTTTAATTAATTTTGCTTGTTACGTCACGAAACAAGCTTAAAAATTCCGAAGCGAATGTTTTGAATGATTTGCTTTCGACCATCACAGGTTTCGTTAAAATTAAAACTTTTCACACAAAAATATTGTAAATATAGTTAACTGAAACCTATCAAGTCCCAAAATTTCGAGATTGATTGTCTCGTTTGTGAGTAGGAAAGTAAGTGCGTTTGACCATTCGCTTGCAAAAATTACAGGGGGGAGGGGGGGGGAGCGGAGGAGAAGAGCGGATGGAGCCCTACTCACGAGTTAGCACTGGCAATGATAAAAAAAAAGTAAAAAACAATAATGAAAACAAGTTAGAAATAAGGTAAAGGAATGACAACGGGCGGTAGTCATGGCGGCTGGTTGTAAGTTTTCCCTCTCTCCTGTCTTTACCGTTTTTTTAGTTTGTCTCTTAGCCTGCAATAGTTTTACTTTCTTCAAAATACGACTATCTCATCCCAAGACTTGTCTGCATCCTGTTGGAGGCGTCATAGGCTTGGAGACGACTCGAAACTTCTTTGTTGCACTGACATCGCGAGTCCGCCATCTTGGAACACGTGCGAAGGGATATTTTGGTACAGACCTAACTCGATATCCCAATTCTGTTTCTACATTTAATATCTCAAGATTGGTACAATGTGGAGACATCGAAATAAACCCTGGACCAGGACAGTCATTATCTCCGGGATTATCCACAACTCGCAAAAAACCTCTTTGGAAGTGCCCTTGTGATGTATGTACGAAGCCGGTTCGCTCCAATCAGAAAGGGATTCTCTGCGATGGTTGTAACAAATGGTTCCACCTAAAGTGCATTACCATGGATCTACAGGCTTATATTGACTTGGGGTCTTCTGATGAGCAGTGGTTCTGTGACAAAAATTGTGGGTGGCCTTTTAACTTCACTGATTCATTCTTTGAATCGTCCTTCTCAACTGGGCAGAATGTAAGCTTAAGCTCTGATGTCTCTGCGGAATCTTCTCCTCGCTCTGCTAATGGCTTCTCTAAGTGCTTACTATTAAATACGAGGAGTATTCGAAACAAGATCAACGACCTAAATGCTCTGTTATTAATGGACTCCTTTGACATTGTTGCCTTGACGGAGACTTGGTTAGACAATGAATTTGATGACCGTGATCTACATCTTGAGGGTTATAGTATCCATCGTCGGGATAGACGTGGTAAGCGTGGTGGAGGAGTGTTGCTCGCAACTAAATCACACCTGCCATGTGTACGGAGACACGATCTTGAGGTAAATGCGGAGATGCTAGCCTGTGAATTAAAGACCAGTAATACACGATGTCTATTATTTGCAGTTTTTTACAGACCACCAGACGTCGAAGAGACGTTCTTGGATGAATTCAGGAGATTTCTCAATAAAGCTTCTGGTACAGGAATCGCTGATTTAATTATCACTGGCGATTTTAATTTTCCCTGTGTCGATTGGTCTACTGGATCACCAACTAGTTTAGACAATTTGACTGAAACTTTTTGTGAAATCCTGGATGACCATTTTCTCACCCAAACAAACCCTTATATCACCCGTCCCAGTGCCACTAATACCTTATCATCTGGTAACATCTTAGACCTTGTGTTGACGAATCATGAATCACTCATCGAAGGAACTACTGTGCACCCAAATGGATTTGATTCAGACCATTTCCCAGTCTGTTTCGCGATCAAGAAAAAGTTCAACAGGCCCAAAAACAGTCAAAGATTAGTTTACCGATATGATAAAGCTGACATTGATGGTCTAAGAAATACATTCTCTCACATTTTATGGGATTCCTATATATCTTGTGAGGACATTGACTCAGGTACGGCGAATTTCCAAGATCTTGTTCTCGCGGCAGTCAATCAACATGTACCAAAGATGAAGCTTAGACGCAAGCCAAGACCTCCATGGATAGATAAAGAGGTCTTAAAGTTAGTGAGGAAAAAGAAAGTCTTGTGGAAGCGTTTAAGGGCCAATGCTTCTCTTGAGGTGACAACAAAGTTTAAATTTCTTAGGAAACAGACCAAACGTCTTATCTCCTTTAAGTATTTCCAGTACTTAAAGTCTCTATCGGATAAGCTGAAGACTAATCCAAGGAAGTTTTGGTCTTTTCATTCTCTTAAATCCAAGAGCAAGAGACTGCCAGAAGTAATAACTTACTCTGGCAAAGCCAGGTCTGCTAAAGATCCTGTGGAAAAAGCTTCCCTGTTCAATGAATTCTTCAGCTCCGTGTTCTCTACAAAAACATCAAACTCTGACAGCTCTCATGTTGATGTGATCAACCCTAACTTATTGATGGATGTATTCACTTCGTACAGTGAAGTAAAGAATATCCTCTGCAACTTAGACATTAATAAAGCAACTGGAGTAGACGGCATTCCTGCGAGGATATTGAGGGACTGTGCAGAGGAGCTATCTTACCCATTGGTTCTACTGTTTAACTTGTCGTTCAGGTGTGGGAGAGTTCCTTCTTCATGGAAAAGAGCTAATGTCACTCCTGTGTTTAAATCAGATGCTAAAGATGTGGTAGAGAATTATCGATCTATATCCCTGTTATCGATTCCAAGTAAATGCCAAGAGAAGATTGTATATAATGCCATATATCCTCATGTGGCCCCTTACCTGACAGATTGGCAACATGGTTTCATAAGGGGTCGCTCGTGTGCTACCCAGTTGGTATTAACACACCATCAGTGGACAAAGGCCTTGGATGATGGACTACAGGTGGATGTTGTGTTCTTAGATTTTTCTAAGGCATTTGACAGAGTATCACACGATATACTCCTTCTGAAGTTGTGTAATTTCGGCATCTCTGGTAGCCTACTAAGATGGTGCGAGGATTATTTGACCCACAGAGAGCAAAGGGTTGTTATTGAGGGACAGAGTTCTGCCTGGTCTGTCATCCCATCCGGTGTACCACAGGGCTCCCTACTAGGGCCATTATTTTTTGTAATATTCATTAGTGATTTGCCTAATGTGGTTATGCCTGGAAACACAATCGCACTGTACGCAGATGATTGTAAAACATCAAGACTGATAAACTGTACATCAGACCAACATGATTTTCAATCTGACCTGAATAATCTACACATCTGGAGTCAGCGAAATCTAATGGATTTTAATGTAAAGAAATGCAAACTGATGCGTATCACGAAAAAAAGTATGCCTTTTCGTTCTGACCTTAAGCTGAATGAGAGCTCTCTGGAAGAAACATCTGAATTCTGTGATCTTGGATTAGTTACTAGTAACAAGTTGTCCTGGAATGCTCATGTTGATAAGATATCAAGCAAGGCTAACAAGATTCTTGGCCTTATTAAAAGGACATGCAAGGGTATGAAAGATGTTAACACGTTAAGAAGGTTGTACTGTGCTTTGGTAAGGTCCCAATTGGAATACTGTACTATTGTCTGGTCACCCTTCACGGCTAGAAACATTAACAGATTGGAAAGGATTCAGCGAAGAGCCACCAAGTTTATTCTAAAAACTGATGATGATTACAACACTCGTAAAGAACAACTGAACCTGTTATCTCTAGAGGACAGACGCTTCTTTTTTGATGTACTATTTTTTTATAGAGTTCTTAATGGGTATATTAATATAGATATATCCTCTTATATCCAATTTTATTCGCATTCGGAAAGATACTCGTTGAGGGGTAAGGACGAACTTAAATTAAAAAAGAACTACGCGAGGACTAATACTTTTAAGTTTTGCTATTTTAATAGGATTGTCCACATGTGGAATGGGCTGCCACTATCGGTCCGTCAGGCTCCAAGTGTTTCTTGTTTTAAAAGGGGTGTAAGGGATTACTTGACTGCAAGATCTGATTGATTTTAGTTTGGATTTGTTTTTTTTTTTTTTTTTTTTTGTTAAAGGTGGTCTGCCGTGCATGGGGATTTATCTCTTTTGCGGACCATCCTTATGGCACCTTTCCTTTTACTCTTTTGTATTATTATCTATTAATGTAAGTATGTAAGTAAGTAGTAAGTTATATGTGCCATTATTTTTTTTTTTTCTTAATGGCACGCACTGATTCCGACAAACAGATTATGATTTGCCTGCAAATCTGCCTCGCTCTCAACGTGTGGTTTCGTAGCTCAGTTGGTAGTGGAGCTCAACTAGTATCTGTGAGATTCGAATCCCGTCGAAGCCTGAATTTTTTCAGACACCTTTTCTGCAATTGCTTAAATTGCAGTTCACCTGAGAGAATATTTTTCTTTACTAAACTCTAAACTCTTGGTATAATTATTTTTCTGAGCCGTAGGGGTTCTTTTTTTTGTTTCGTTTTGTGTTTCCTTTTGAGTTCGTTTTGCTTTGTTTATGTATTTCGCCTTTCTTCCGCCAAACTCACAGTAACGAATGATGAACTCAATGAACCTTATCATAAATATTTACACAAATCGTATTGCACTGCTTGATATCAATTCAAGTGACACTC